TAGGATAGACTAACCAGTTGGCAGCAAAGAACAAAACCAAGACCTCATTTGTAACTTTAAATGAAAAAATGGTAGGTAGTGTCTACAAAATGAGTGAATAAGTTATTGATTCTTTGAGAAATTGTTCTGTGATACGGACACAAACTATGTAATAGCAATCAGAAAGGATCTTCATTTAAGTAAGTATTGGCAACCCTTCATAAAGGATTAATACTATCTCTGCCAATGGTTAGAAAACAAATTTCTTTTAACACATACTCTAAATGTAATTTTTTCTTTCTTGCCAATTTAAAGTTTGCTTTAAAGACAATCTTGTCTATAAAAGCAGTGTATTGGAACACATTCCAGCATGATTGATCTGCCCTTGTTCTTTTGGCAACTAAATTATTTTTTGACAAATTTTGTATGATTTTAAGTAATAAAGCACGACAGGCTCAATTTGATGACCTTAGAGAATTTTGTCTCTCTAAAAATGCATAACCATAACTATATTACAAACCTTAATAGTGAAATTATTTTTTCAATTTTCCCAGCTGTTTTTGCAATTTAATTAAACTTCAAGTGGTATGTTTTTTCCTATCTGCTCTTTCATTTTTATATTTGCTTTTTTCATGAATACATGCCAGCCAAATTCTTACACAAACCCCAGAATGTTTCAAGAAAAAAAATCCCCCAAAGAATCGCTGAAATGCTGTCAACTAACTACTCCTCCTTTCAAATCTGAATGTATTAATACCTCCCCTGCATTTCCTTAATATATGATTCATTGATTGATTTACATCCTCAAAAGCAGAATTTCTGAAAGAAGATGCATCACTAATAGTCAGCTATTAGGTTTGGGCAATTACTTTGTCCAAAATAATCATAACGTAATCAAGGTCAACATATCAAAACTACTATTAAAAGAGATTAAAAATTACTTTCCCATAACTAGCAATGTGGCAAAGGAGAAATCTGGCAAATAATCCCTGCTGCACCTTCCAAATTTGAGCAAAATATTGGAGGAGACAGACGTGCTGTTCAAACCAAACTGCCAAGCTTCCAAACTCACACGTGGGGACTGAAGCATTTCACTCCTGTGCCCTTCCCTCTTGAAAATGACCCAAGCTATTCTCCCTGCTTCAGAAATTCTGAGTCTGCTGCTGCTTATAAAGGAAGGAGGCTCCTTGGCAGGAGCTGATGAGTAGTGCTCTACAAAGAAGTGTGCCACAAAGAATTGCTGTCTTGCAAAATGGCTGCTAATCCTCAGTGTTGTTAATGAAGGTCAGCCTTGGCTGCCTTAACTAGAGCATGTATTGAAAAAGTTCTTCCACCTCCCTCTCCTGGAAACCCAAGGGCCTCACTTTCCAAGAGTATGCAACGGGAGCATGTTCTGCTCTCGTTAAGGTCAGTGAGAGAGGACGGGCATCTTGGATGAAAGTAATTCTTCTATTCATCTTTGAAGAAAGATAAAAGTAAGCACCTGCCACTAGAAAAAAAATTAGGAAATGTAAGAATAGTACGAAGAAGTGTAAGAAATATGAATGTAAGTTGTAAGAAGTCCTGCTTTGTACAGATTTGCACTGTACGATGGAGAGAGAGGGAATATAAATAAAGAGGGATGAGTGCATAGTTTAGTTCAGGCCAGGAAGAGAAATTTTATGATCTATACATGCAGAGAATGCACAAAAGTTGGAGAGGATTAGTGACTTTGAAGGAAAGAATAGAAGGGGTTTATGTAATCATGCTTTGTAGGATTTTTAGAAGAGAAAAAAAACCACAAGCAGCTCCAAAGCCACTTAAGACGTCAACATAATTTTGATGCTTGGTGTTGCTCTAAATTAGAATAAATGAGCCAGATCATGAAACTGGCTTTAAATCTTAAAATAAATCCTTTCTGATGTTCATGTTTTGTTCTTTCAATTAAGTACAAATATCATATCCCCTAAGTTACTTACTTAATATTTTCAAGCTGAAAAACAGACTTGAAGACAAACTGCTAAACTGGAGTCAAGAGAATACTTCAATGATCTAGAAGACATCAAATGAATGAGATATTATTTGAAACAGGTTAGATACTTTGAGGTAGGCTTATAATTACAAGCAATTCAGATAAGATAAATTATGAAAATGCAGATCTTTGTGTCCAAATAAAACTGCTTTCTGAGGCTGCAAACAAGGTGACAAAGGGTATAAATCTGGCAAACAGAACCAGCAGATGCTTTATATTGTAAGCACAGGTTTTGCCTACTGCAATCAGAGCAACCTTACAGCTATGTGTCTTAACTGGGCAATTGCCTAAGCTGTTTACCTCATCTTTAAGCCCAGAATTAACTCATTTTCTAGTACTGTGATCTGGAATAGCTTGGGGATAACATTTTCAAAGAAGTCATGCAGTTCTGTAATCCTATTTGCAGAGATGACTTTGCTCAGATACTCATCCTGATCTCTCTCTAGTAAACAAGGAATCAACCTTGAAGAGTGAGGTTTAAAATCCACAATTATTTTATGAAAGAATTAAAGCTCTTGATCAGTCTTTGTTTATCTATTTATTGCCATTTTTTTTGGTGGGTCTATTTTCTAAATGAAGGAAGATGCAATATTTTGAGCGCCTTTTTATATGGTAGCTCTCTGATACTGGAGGTGTCCCCATCCGTTTTTTCCTCTGCCCTTTTTCTTTTTTTTCCCCCCTCTTTTTCCCACTGTCCCTTCTAACTGCAGATGTGCATTGAGTCTGCCAGGTGAGGCCGTATCTTGGATCCTTATAAGGGCATTACAATACTTGACTGTGGTACTAAAAAAAATTAAATGCATTCTGGAGATCTCCCTCCATTTTCTTTTAACAAAGGTGCATTTGAGAAAAAGTTTTTTCCCAGGTGTCTAAAACAGTGTCCAGTTCTCTAGATTCAGTTGCTAAAGTTAATTTGGACTCCTATAAGTTGTTTAATCCCCAGACGTCTAGCCTTTTCAGAGGCTTATGAATTTTTGTTCTTGGTCTTCATGAAGCAGTATCTTAAGTTTAGTGAAAAATTACTTTTCTTCAGGTATTTCAAACGTCTTCTTGGACTATGATGCACTAAGTACCACCTTGCATTGCTTTTTAAATTATCACTATACTCTGACATCTCATAGCCTAATCATCAAGGAATAAAGATGTCTTTCCATTACTATGCAATTAAAAACCATTGATCTTACTTCAGCAGAAAAGAAGCAGCTAACCAAATGATGTCACCAAAGTTTTAAAGAAATTCCAATATATATTCGGTCAAATATTTGTCTCTGGGTGGGGAAGCTTTTGGAAATGAGAAATATTTGGAAGCAAATGGTAAGACTTAAGAACTGATCTTGTGAATGGGAAACAACTCTTATTGCTATACTGTGATTGCAGCTGGAGATATCCGTGTTAAATTATCATGCCAAAACCCATGTCATTGTACGCTTGCTTCTGGTATTCAAACAGGTTATTATGCAAAAAGCATCTGACAGCTGTCTAAAGGCTAGTTTAAAATCCTTGTGGTACACCTGAGAAATAAGTTCACTTACAGAGAATTATGGTAGATGTGGGTCAAAACTTCTGCCAGATACAAAATCTCTGTTGTGCATTGCAGTCCACCAGCTAATGGGGGAGAATGGAGTGAACAAACAAATAGTATTTTGAAAGTTTGGTCACGCTGGACAAAAAAAAATAGTGGTTACTTCAAACTAGGAATATACTTGCAGTTTTAGAGTTTTTAACTTCTTAGTACACCCTGTTTTTTTCATTTGCCACTTGTAAAAAATTACTGTGAAGTCAGAAAAAAAACAAAACCAAACCAGTCTTGCTCAACTGTTATTGGAAGGGGAAACATTCCAATCTGATAGATCTGCCAGTTGATCTTTAGCTGGTCAGAAGTGGAAAGGCTGCATCTGGACAGTGGTTTGGTAGGATATTAAATCGTAAGCTGCTTTTTCCTCACTGATATGGAAAGTAGCCGTACAGTAATGTTCAAAGCTCCTCTGTACAAGCCATTATTCCTCTCAAGATAGCATTATAAAAATAATATTTAAAAAAAATCAAGTTATCAGCCACTTTAACCAATTTCCTTAGAATAGGAGTTGGTGATGTTCTATAATTTGTGCTTACTGACACGAGCTATTTGCTGTTAGCTAGTATTCTCTTTGTTGGTATAAGATGAAACTCAAAAATTACTATGGTTCTCTTGCTAGAACAGTGTTGGAGTCAAGTAGAAGTTTGATTCTAGAAATTACTGGAAAATTCCCATCAAAGAAAAAAATCAAAAAACAAAACACATGACCTGGATTTTTAATATTTCAAACATATGGAAGGAAAAAATTCCTGAAAGGTTACTTGATTTTTCTCCTTGCTGCTTATTTTCTCCTTGCTTTCCTTGAAAGCAGTATATTCTGTTATAAAATGACTATCGAAAAAGCCTTATTACTTCAGAATTACATATTTAAAACAGCTTTTGCATTCCAAAATATTAATAATTTGAAGTCTTTATAGGTTTTCCTACTATTTCGTGTCTTTATCTTAAATTCTCTTTGATAAAAATGTGCATGTTACAGTGTTAAGTGACATCTGACCTCTGACTTCTAGTCACGTGATGCAAAATGCTTTTGAAAATATTTAAGTCTAGATAAAGGAAGATGACTAAACTCCTAAGCTTTTGTCTTCTAAAAAATTCCCATCACTGCCAAAGCTGGTGAAGCTCCTCTGATAGTTACAATGGTGGGAGCAATAAGGCAGAAATGCTTCCAAGTGTCCACAAGCTTTCTCCCCACCACGCCTTCTACGTACCTCCTGCAAATTTCTGTTTCTGCCTTTCGAAAATGGATAGCCGCACATTCCTTGTCATATCTGCCCTTCCTCTCACAGAGCTTCACATTGGGAAGCTTCACACAAACGCCTAACAGACAAGGAACAAATGTGTTTAGCAAGGCAGCCAGCAGGCTTACTGTACTATCCCCTCTTCCAACATTTAAAGAATGCAACTATCTTCTCTCTTTCCTTTCCCATGTAGCTTGAGAATTACATCCAAGACAGTATGAAGAAAGAGATGGTAGAGATCCAGCAAACTGCAGTGCAGAACCAGACTGCAGTAATGATTGAAATAGGCACAAACTTACTAAATCAAACAGCTGAACAGACCCGCAAATTAACAGATGTTGAAGCACAAGTAAGTAATGAATTAGAAGTCGATCATTAAAATCAACAGCTCTACCCATCTTAAAGAAACATTAGTATTTGGTAATACATAATTCCATCTCAAGCCCACTGTTGTCACTTGAAAGACTTCCATTGCAGCAGGATTTGAAGTCTGTCTAGCAAGACAATTGTTATATTAATTTTTAAAGTACTTGAAACTACTGTACTATATCCAAGCATCAGTTGGCTACTAGGAGACTTTTATACAGCCCTTGTTGTAATGTCTCTGTTGATTATTCACCTCTCACCACCAGATCTTGGCTAAAAGAGATTTCCTTCAAACTGCCTTTGTTCCAGTTACCAGGATGAGTGCTTTTTTTACAATTCAGTTTTCTTTTATATTTTTTAAAACTTCTTCTCAAGAAAAATGCATCTTTTTAATGATTGTTTTCACAGATACTATAAGTGGGATAACTTCATTTCCAGCACAATGCACTATATTATTGTTACTTGACAGAGGGGTAAATAAAGGGACATGAATCAAGAAAAAAGAAACTAGGAGGAGGCTACCAGAAAAATGTATTCACACAGCATTAAACTTGCCTACTGTACATATTATTCTCTGAATTATTTAAAAGAAAAAAAAGTTTAATTATTGCTGTAATTGAAATACACTAACTACAATAAGACACTGTGAAACAGAATGCAAATTTTAATGTAAAGACAAGTCCAGTCAATGTAGAATGGTATGTATTTGTAATTTTGCTAATACGGTAGGAAAATTCAGATATACAATTCCCCCAATAAATAATGAATACATCAAGCATCACATAACATTTTATATAATGTACATAGCATACAACCCCCAAAATCCTTGTTACGCATTTTGCTATCTGTATAGTTTATCCCATGAATTAAATTACATGTATTTAACCTAATCCAAGCCTTTGTGAACTCTTTAGTAAACTGACAGTTAGTAGCTCCCAGGCACACCGAGTTCAGCTTTCTGATTGTGTTATTCAGGAGCCCTGTATTTTGCACATGTTGAGAGAATGTCTTTATTCATTCACAGTAACGTCTTTATGGAAATTACTCAATTATTTTCTGCTTAGAGGAAGAAGATCATCACTGTAACTTTCCTTCCTTGCCTGAAATTACTGATGACTTGGTTAAGGGCTTAATTAGCAACATAAGGAAATTAACCAAACAATTGCTCTCTCAAGGACACTTATATTTGGCAATAGTTTTCAATTACACTTAAGTGTGAAATCATGTCCTGAATGACTGTTTAACATGAAGGACATGAGTAATCAATTCTTCCTGCAAAGGAAAGCCAAATTCTGCTGTATTAAAAAAAGCTGTTCTAAAATGGTGAGAGAATATTTCTAGAAAACATGCCTCAAAGTAACGCAAGTTGATACAAACCAAGAAGCACCTTCCATGTCTCCTAATATCTGCATTTCTTCATTTAAAGATGCAAATAAATTTAGACAGTAAACAATACATATAGAAAAAGTAACATTGAAATGCAAGGAATGTATCAACAAAAGTGTGATTCATAGGATAAACACTTTAAAATATAATTTGGGATTAAGGAAGATAGCTAAAAGAGAACTATCTAGTGATTCTAGGACTGGGCCAAGATTTCAGCCAGTGAGAAGTACACAAAGTACTTGCCTTCTACACCAGATTGAGAAAACAACTCAAATTATTCTCTGAACAACCACCATAATAGTTCCAGTAATGGAATAAGAATATCATAACAGAGGGGAAGGTATGACAGCAAAACTAAACTACACAGTAACTCTCAGCCATTGATCAGAAAAGGAGCATACGACTGAAATATTCCCAATGATGTATGGAAGGGTAACAACAAAAGTAGTGCAACTATTATTTTTCATTCTAATTCTATGAGCATTTGTGCCCAAATTAAGCCTTCAAATTTTTTTTTTATATTATAAGCTTAAGTAGAGATTTGCATGATTTCACAACAGAAAGAAATTACAATTTATTTAAAAGAAGTATCTTGATTTTAAAATATTTTTATAAATTTTATTTAGGTATTAAACCAGACAACCAGACTTGAACTTCAGCTTTTGGAACACTCTCTTTCAACAAACAAACTAGAAAGACAGATTTCAGATCAGACCAACGAGATAACTAAATTACAAGAAAAAAACAGGTAAGTTTGCCTATCAACCCAACAAAACACTATTCCCTGATGTGCCCTTATACTGCTTTTATAAGCAAATGTATTCAAGTAGGAGAACAAGGTCTTGTAGAGAAGCTCCACACACCATCTACAGTCAGTACAGAGGTCATATGTTATTTAAGGCCTAGAGAATCACACACATTTATTATTCATGTGTTCTGCTTTATATATAATTCCTCATTATCCAAAGTTCTCCTTTTTATTTTGAACTTAAGGTTAAAATGGAAATACTTCTTAGTACTTAAGTTATAGACAATTTATATTCTTCCTTAGACTTATCCAAATGAAATTATAGATGGTATAACCTGACTCAAACGAATCCAGTGCAGCCACTGGATCTCTAAAATTTTATTTTCATGTAGTACACAGCTGTCCTAATATACAATCGGGTCGTTGTCACAATTCTTCTTCTAACATGGTGAGAAAAGTCAAATACTACTTGTATTCTATGTCCTCACTAGTCAATCTTTTGAAATTTGGACTCGTATGCAATTACTCCTATACATTTGTGTATGCAAGTGTTGTCCAAAGCCTCATACCTTTTTTCAGCTAGTTTCATTTTCATACACCAGGCTCTTACTTTACTTTTAGCAATAAATTGAGAGAAACAAATAGAGAAATCTAAAGCAGCAATAACTAAGTTTTCTCCTTCAAAGCTCTGTTTTGCAATGGGAACCATATGTGCAAAGTGGTTTATATTTTGAGAGAATTAGCTTAAAAAACCCACGAGACATGTTTTGATATTTTTGTTTACTACTCTACTACATTTATATATGCTTCCTAAATGGTTTGTCTGCCAGCTTAATAGAAAAAAAAGCATCCTTATCAAATGGAAAGCAAAGTAAATACTGATTTTTAAAATGTGACTTTTTATTTTTTTGTATATGAAGCAGTATTTAGATCCCTTGTAAACCCCATGTAAACACAAAAGCATTGTTTCTCACATAACTAAAGACAACCTGACCTGCAGCTAATCTGCTTGAAACATAAGGTTCAGGATTTTTTTTTTTTTTCCAATAACAGCAAGGGATTTTAGGTGAACTTCTCCCTTCTGGCCATGCACCTTTTAACATCATCTTTCTCAGAGTCTGCAGCAGAACAATTACCAATGAAACAGTGTTCCAGCCAGTCACCTACTCACACTGGCTCCAGAACTGAAGATGGTTAAAACATCTTCAAGTACCTATTTGCACATTTCCCAGCCTTAACGCTGTAAGATATATGTTAAATACAGATTTGATTATAATTACAGGCCATTTGAAAAGTTCATAGGTTCATCTTTAAATAAGTTTTTCCTTTTAATAGGGTAAAAACATGAAATCTTTGATTATATCTTTCCCTTCATAATGTTGAATTATGAAACACCCAATTTTTAAACTTGAAAAACCTGCAATACAGACTATAGTGGGCAATGTTGTTTATTCATGTATGAATACAATAGATTAAAGCATATATATCAAACTGAACAGCTTTCATTTAGCTTCCTACTGCATGCATGGCATCAGAGAATGAAGTTGAGTACTTAAAAACTTCTGCAAAACACTTGTTTCTCTTTACATCAGCTCAACATTGTTTCTGGGGAGCCTAATTGTAATCTTTCATTTAGCTTTCTAGAAAAAAGAGTTCTTGAGATGGAAGACAAGCACACACTTCAGCTGAAGTCAATAAAAGATGAAAAAGATCAGCTTCAAGCCCTAGTAGCGAGACAGAATTCTATCATAGAAGAACTAGAAAAACAGTTAGTTACAGCTACAGTAAACAACTCGGTTCTGCAGAAACAGCAACATGATCTGATGGAGACTGTTCATAACTTGCTTACTATGATATCTACACCAAACTGTAAGTAAAAGTAGACATGATTGTAGAATTTGAAGGACATGCCCTAATCTGTGCACATTACTACTTAGAAAGTCTTAAAACCAGTTCTTCCACACTTCTGCTTCTCAAAAAGTATATTTTTTTTGTTTCCTTTAAATTCTGCATTCGAGTTAATTAACCTTTTTTTTCAGGGGTGAGGTGGAACACCAACAACATTTATGTGGTTTATTTCAAACATTTTGTTCATCTTCTGTGCTTTATATTGGTTTGCCTGCCCACTTCTCCATTGCTTCAACAAAATAGAGAGATGCCAAGTAAATCATTCATCTCACATGGCATTCATTCATCTGGCAAAATATATATCATCTGGCAAAATATATATCATCTGGCAAAATATATATCTAGGTTAGACTGCATGTTGCAGGCTTGCAGTTCTTCTTTCTGGCTCACAAAGATTGCTTCTGTCACCTCTCATTGATCTACGCACATTATGTTGATCAAAGAACGGACAAGTTATACTGGTTGTTAAAGGCAAAGGCATCGGCACTGGCCCCGTTTTCAGCACCTCTGTGTGCCCTGAACAACAGAAAGCACCAGCCCAGGGCAGCAGGTACTCCCAGACATCCTCCAGTCTTTCACTGAAGCTTCCCTGTTCATCCTAAAAATCCCTCAGCCTAGCAAAGTTTATAGGCAATAATCTTACCCCTAAATGCCTGACAGCACTGCAACAAATCATAGCCACCAACTATAGCTTCCAAATTTATGCAGATTCACACGCTCCATAAAAACCCACACAAAGCATAACCAAGTTATGGCTAAACAGGATTTAAGCAAATGAGCAAATTCCTTACCTTGAATTTCACGTCTGACATAAACTTGGACAAATTAAGTATACCTGTTCTGTGCAAGAGTAAAGAACCTGACATGTTTGCCTGTAAATTTCTCAGAGCTGGAAATACACAAGCATGTACAGCCTCTAAAAAAGACTTTAAAATTAAATACTTGGAAAATTTTAAAGTAGTTGTCATTAGATGGACTGTGCTACATTACTGCAAGTAGGATCACATAAAAAGGAGAAGGGTGCTTGGAAGTTCTCAATTTCAGTAGTGTCCTAAATAATATGATGTAGTTTTTTCTAAACAAAGTAAAGCCCAAGTTTTTTGTTTTAATAACTGATTCTCCTTAAGTACCATTACATGTACAAGGCTGTACATGTTCCTGCTGATGTTATCTGCTATGCTAGTGCACAAATAAGTAAACAAGTCAAAGTCATGTTGGCTACAACACTGTTAAACCCAGAGTGGAAAAAATAATGAATGTTTGCCAAAAAGACAGAAGCTTTCCCTGCTAATTTTAAGACAGTATGCAAACAATAGAGTGTGGAAAAGTAATTACTGAACGTGTTATTTTTGTATTTAAGGCAAAGCATGTAAACAGGTAAATAATGAATAACCAAGCTAAAAAGAACTTAATAAGCAACTGTAATATAAGCATGTATTTATATGGCATCTAAAACTTTGTACTAACTGTCTGTGCTTATTAGATTAAATTAAAAGGGAAAATACACAGAACCAACTCCAAAAGGGTCAAATATGAAATATCAGTCAGCAGGCAAAATGCCAGGAAATTCCAACCTCCATAGTTAATAAAGAACTGAACAAAAAGATGAGACTTAGATTGTTCTGTAAAATAAGAAGGCTTAGGCATATTAAAATACGTTTTTTACACAAATGAAATCCAGAAGGGGTCTCCTCCTTAGTGGTCTGGGCTGAGCTACCAAGCTTCAGCTTGCTACATTCAAAGTTGTTCCTGCTCAGTAGAGAGGCAAAAAAAACCTAGTGGAAACTTTGTAAAAGTCGTTATTCTAGTCTGCTGCATTATAAAAGATTTCATAACTCTTATGTTAGATTTCACAATATTAGAGTTCTGGCCAAAGGTCATTATTAAAATAATCAGTGGTTAGCTAGACGTGTTTGTAGTGGCAGTTGGTGCATACAGAGGTTGGAATGCATGTAGAAGTCCAGCAAAGGCAATGAATGGAAGCAGAAACTGTACAACTGAAACAGATCATAGAATGGTTTAGTTTAGAAGGGACCTTAAAGATCATCTAGTTCCAAGGCCCCTGCCATGGACAGGGACACCTCCCACTAGACCAGGTTGTGCAAGGCCCCATCCAACCTGGTCTTGAACACCTCCAGTGATGGAGCATCCACAGCTTCCTGAGCAAACTGTTCCAGTGCCTCACCACCCTTGCAGTGAAGAACTTCTTCCTTATGTCTGATGTAAAATCTGCCCTTTTCCAGTTTGGACCCATTCCCCCTGGTCCTGTCACTACAGGCCCTTGTAAAAAGTCCCTCTCCAGCTTTCTTGTAGACGCCCTTCAGATACTGGAAGGCTACCATGGAAGGCTCCCCAGAGCCTTCTCTTCTCCAGGCAGCTGTTTCAGCCTGCCCTCATAGGAATCATAGAGTCATTAAGGTTGGAAAAGACCTCTAAGATTATCAAGTCCAACTGTCAACCCAACACTATCATGACCACTAAACCCTGTCACAAAGTGCCATGTTTACACATTTTTTGAACATCTCTAGAAATGGTGACTCCACCACCTCCCTGGGCAGCCTGTTCCAATGCCTCACCAGTCTCAGTACAGAAATTCTTCTCATCCTATCACTTGTTACTTAGAAGAAACCAACACCCACCTCACTACAGTTGTAGACAGCAATAAGATCTCCCCTTCAGCCTCCTCTTCTCCAGACAAACCAATCTCGGTTCCCTCAGCCACTCCTCATAAGACATAAGAGAGGTCTTCTTCCAGCCTTCTAGTCATCCTTGTGGTCTTCCTCTGGACCTGCTCCAACAGCTCTGTCTTATTGTGGTGGGGGCTCCAGAGCTGGACACAGTACTTGAGGTGGGGTCTCATGAGAATGGAACAGAGGGACAGAATCACCTCTCTTGGCCTGCTGACCATGCTGCTTTTGACGTAGCCCAGGATACTGTTGGCTTTCTGGGCTGCACTCACACATTATTGGCTCATGTTGAGCTCTTCATCAGCTAGCACCCCTAAGTCTTTCTCCTCAGAACTGCTCTCAATCTATACTCTGTTCAGCCTGTATTTGTACTTGGGGTTGTCTTGAGCCAGGTGCAGGACCTTTTTCTTGGTCTTCTTGAACTTCATGAGGTTGGCATGGGCCCACCTCTCAAGCCTGTCAAGGTCTCTCTGGATGGCATCCCTTTCGTCCAGCATGTTGGTAGCACGACATAGCTTGGCAGGTCCACATACCTGCTGAGGGTGCACTCAATGCCACTGTCCATGTCACTGACAAAGATGTTAAACAGCACCAGTCCCAGTACTGATCCCTGAGGAACACCACTCATCACTGGGCTCCACCTAGACATCGAGCTGTTAACTGCAAACTATGTCAGTGTGGCCATCCAACCAATTCTTATCCACTGAGTGGTCCATCTATTAAATTAGAGACCAGGACGTCATGCAGGACAGTGTTGGCTGCTTTGTACAAGTCCAGGTAATTGATGTCAGTTGCTCTTCCTTATCCACCGATGCTCTTAAGTTCATCGTAAAAGGCCGCCAGATTTCTCAGGCAGGAGTTGCCCTTGGTGAAGCCATGTTAGTTGCCACCAATCACCTCTTCATTTTCCATGTGCCTTAGCAGAGCCTATAGGAGGATCTGCTCCATGATCTTGCCAGGCCCAGAGGTGAGACTCACTGGCCTGCAGTTGCCCAGATCTTCCTTTTTTACATTTTTGAAAATGAAGGTTATGTTCCTCTTTTCCAGTCAATGGGAACTTCAGCAGACTGCCATGACTTTTGAAATATGGTGGCGTAGCAACTTCATCTGCAAGTTCCTCAGGACTTGTGGAGGGATCTCTTTGGGTCCCATGAATTCGTACACATTCAGATTTTTTAGATGGTCTTGAATTGGGTCTTCACTTACAGTGGGCAGATCTTCCTTCTCCCAGTCACAGCCTTTGCCTTCTACAAGGTGATGTGGCCAGAGCCCTTGCTGGTAAAGACTGAGGCAAAAAAAGTAATTGAGTACCTCAGCCTTCTCCACATCCTTTGTGACTCAGTCTCCCTTTTTGCTTCCGGAGAGGGCACACATCTTCCCTAACCTTCCCTTAATCATTGACAGAGCTGTAAAAGTTTTTCTTGTTACCCTTGATGGCCTTGGTCGGATAGAATTCTATCTGTGCTTTAGTTTTTCTAAGCCAATCCCTGGCTGCTCAGACAACTTCTTCATATTCCTCACAGGCTCCCTGTCCTTGCTTCCACTCTCTTTTTGCATCTAAGTGTGTCCAGCAGCTCCTTGTTCATCCATGCAGGCCTCATGGCATCCTTGCTTGCCTTCCTGTTTTTTGGGACACATTGCTTCTGGTCTTGGAGGAGATGGTTCTTGAATATTGACCAGCTTTCTTGGGCCCCTCTTCCCTCCAGGGCTTTATCCCATGGTACTCTACCAAGGACATCCCTGAAGAGGTTAGTCTGCTCGTAGAATGAGATGCTGTATCCTAAGTTTTCTAATTCAACATGCAATAATTCATCACTTTTCAACCTATCAAGCAATCACACCCATAGCAGAATAATGTCTCTAAATAATATAAAGTAACCACACACAACTAACGGCTTGATCTGTCATTTCTTTCTGGATCAAGCATATTTTTTTGAACTGCAAAGCTTTAAGATGATTATATCATTAATTGCTTCTTAGTAGCTTTTATTCATCTCCTCAGAGCCTTCAATTTCTGTTGTATTTTTTACAGCTAAGACCAACTTCATAGCTAAAGAGGAGCAAATAAGCTTCAAAGACTGTGCTGAAGCATTCAAATCTGGACTGACAACAAGTGGAATCTACACTTTAACAGTTTCAAACACTGTACAAGAAAAGAAGGTAGGATAGATATAAAGTGGTATCTAGGCATACTGTGTGTTAAAAAGTTATCTAATCAGATCAATATAGTATTTTAAAGGTTGGTTACTAATGACATTTATTACTATTTTTTTTTTTTTTTTAAATGAGTGTTTCATTACTTAGGGATCCGAGTATCTCAAAGGAAGAAGAAAGTCCTCCAGGTGAAATATAGGCTCAGTTGAAATGACTGAGCATTTTGTTGTTTACTTCAGCATGCCAGAATTTCATTCTTTGTTTCCACATAATTAAAACAATTAAAGCAATATAGTACCGTAATTTCTTTATAAAATCTCTTACTCCAACAGAGTTGCTCTACATGATCAGCAGTCTCCTGTCTCCACCAAGTTCTTAGTTCCTTCTGGTGGCAAAAGGAGGTAAAATCAGGGGCATGGAAGAGTACTCATGGCTGCTTACTCATATAAACTATGTACTGGACTCATGCATTGGTTCCAGTTCTGTTATGCAGACTTTTAAGGGCATTTGTGTAACAATTAGATTAGCAATTAGATCAGCACAACTCACACTGGGTAACAGAGGACTTTCTTGGAAAATATTGCTCCAGTTTAAATAAAAAGTGAGAGTTTGCAGTGGCTTCAACTAGATCAGTTTAAATTCCTCTCTGGATGTTTTTTTTTCTCCCTGTGTGTTTAACTGAAATGGACTGCAGTATAAACTTACGTTAAAGCAATACACCACACCTCTATAGAAGAGACCTTGCACTAAAAATAGCACTCAGTGGGTGAAACACTGGATGCCTGACAAAGATGCTACATCTACTGAGGTAAATAGAATGGTGAAGCTTCAGATAGTATAATTCAGTTGAAAGAGTCAATAAAATCTGAAAGGGAGAAAAGTCCCAGGTGGATTGTGAGGATTAAGAACCAAAAAATACATTGAGCATTCTGAAGACTGGGGCTCAAATGATCAACATTTGTTGCCGCTTTTTCAGACACAATAGGCAGAGGAGGGAAAGGGTTATCTGAATATAAGCAAAAATGCTTAATTTATTTTTCAGAAAAACACCAAGTAATTTTCTAATATTTTTCTTTTATAATTTCATATGGTAGACATTTCCTTACAAAAATGGAAGTATTTTGTGGAATTCCTAAGACTTCCACAAAATTGGAAAAATAAACCTAAAACCTAACAGAAAACGTACTAAAGCAGAGGAAGATGAGGACATGTGGAAAAGAACTGGTAAAACTCTGACAGAGAAAGCATTTTTTTTCCAAGTTTTGATAGGAAATGTTTAGAAATTAAGTTCAGCAGCGAACTAGTCTTTGAAGGACTAGAACTTCATCTGCCCCAAGCCAGACTTTGTGATCTTTATCCTTACAAAGCTCTCAACAAAAGGAAATAAGCAATTTGTCTGTGTAAGATCTATAAAATACAATACATAAACCCTGCAATTTTTGCAGATACCATCTAGAGAAATTATATCTGCCGTCTGCTTCTCTTAAAAAAAGCCTGGTTTTCCTTTGTAATAGTCTAGTCTATATTCCGTACATCTGTTTCACAAGAAAATTGGTTACATACGATGCAATAAAGCATTCTGTTGCACGTGAAGCAGAATGGTATTTAACATAGATATCTACAATTACAATTTTAAATGCTAAAGAAGATGCAAGCTCCTGCATCTCTACAGTAATAGATTGTAACAGTCTTTGTTAGACATCTCAAGAAGGGTTGCATTCCTTGAATCTCTTAATATTCGTAAAATTAAAACCAAAGGTAAAAGCTTGAGACAACTATCAAATACAATATATAGAGCATGCATTTTCCTAAAAGCAGACACGTGAATATTACAGAATTAAATTATTGTCCATATTAGAGAATGAAAATTTGTCAAACTTTTAACACTGCATTTTCAAAGCTATAAATGTTTAAGCAATTTATATGATCTAAGTAAGAGTAGCATGCATTTCTACAAAACTAAAACCTACCAGAGTATTCTATCCCTGAAACAAATGTACAGTTGCAAATTTCCTAGACTATAAAATATCAAATTACTACATTTAAACATGGAGGCTTAAAACACTTAACAAAAATAGCCATTTTGGTAATTAACTAGGTTAAAACTAGTAGTTAAAATGTAATAATTTAATAAAAATAGTAATTCATTTAATAATACTAAAGAATTTTAACCTTATTTTGCCTACTTCAGATAGTAGAAAATTAAAAAGACAGCAAAGGTTTTACTTACTATATGAGCAAAGTTTTTACTTACTGTATGATATGAAAAATGAGAACCTAAAAAGTTTTAATCTGATTCAGATTTTTTAACACAAATACAAGTGCATAAGAGGAGTTGTCAAGGGAAGTGAAGGTTTAGGTATAACCAACATGTTACAGCATTTTCAGCTGTTTGTGATGTGGATGGCTGCTCAGACCAGGAAACAGAATGACCTTTTTTATTTGCCAAAAGTGCTGCACTGCTGTTTATGTTTTTGTCTTTTCCTCTTTTAACACCTTCTGACCTCCCAACAGGCTTATAAACAACTTCTATGTAATCTGTAACTGATCCCACTTTACTAATTTGTCTCCCATCATAATCTAAAACTAAAGAATTGCATACAAGAGCTGAGAGGAAAACAATTATTTCATTCCATTAATATTTTCAAGCTTTCCTGTTCTGCACCGGGACAAAAGCTAAGTCCTTTTAAAAACACTGAGGAAAAACAGCAGAAGACTGCTGACACAAGGAAAAATGGCAGAGGCAAAGCCATGAAATGTGCAACCCAGCTTCATGTTTACAGCCGTCACCTGAACCAATTAATCTCCTGGTCTTAACCAGGCAGAACAGTTGAGTCTGGATGACCCCAATATATTAGCTCAACCGTAACCACAACTATTACCAACAGATTACCTCCAATCCTAAAATAGTTGCTGAAGCAGTGGCTAAGCTTTTGCCCATTTCCATGCTTCTTGAGCTGAATTTTCATCCCAGAACTGACACACATTCTAAGCCAGGGCCTTTTAAACTAAAACTCTGTTGTAGAAATTGATTTGGGCAGGTGTGAATTTGCCAGTAAAATGGTTTTGCGTAAATTTCCTAAGAAGTGATCACCCAGACAGCTAGCTAATAATTTCAAAAGGAGCCTGTGTCATAGATGTTACATCTAAAATACACATACACAAATTGTTTCTAACGCCAGGCATTAAAAAAGAGCATATGGGTAGCTTCTGTGATACTGTGAGAGGTTAGATGAGGGTTTTTTAAAATGAATTTTAGAAGTTGCATCATCTGTCTTTTTCCCTGTTAGCAGGTTAAATTACATTATAAACCATGTGTGTAGCTATTTTTTCCAGAATAAACTGTAGGAGCTAGAGATAGCAGAATACAAAATCATGGAGCAGCATGACTCAGAAGTGTTCATACACCTGCCAAAAGGGATGTAAAGGGACACTGAACAGATGAGTAGTTGCATTTGCTTTGGTATAAAAACTGCAGTGGATATTCATCCTGATAACTCAGCCAGAGCCTTACCATTCAGAAAGTAGGTATGAAAACAATTATACCCCAAATGTCCTCATGTACAAGAAAAAAAAAGAAAAATTACTTCCTCTGAAAGTCAACTTCCTAGACAGTGAAGACATCAAATGGTGTGCTCACAGCTGATGCTTTTATCAACTTTGGAAAGGGGACTACATCTGGTTACAAACATGTTAAGAGCATCTTCAAAAATACAGTACTGATCTTTAGCTGAAGGTGAGAAATAGAAACAGCTGACCTTAGCTCTCACAGTGCTACAGCTCCTAGAACTATATGTACTGAAGCAGTTCACAAGATAAATCAAATACTCCCCCTGCCAATTTGTTGTAATTTGAGAGGCTAATCTCTTTATTCTTTTTGGCATTTGTTTGAAGACTCCTGCTGCCTGCCTAATCTTGGTATCTGTTTTTACTAGGTTTATGAAATGCTATGTTTCTTCCTTTTGAATATAAAACATAGGCTAGGCTGAAAGGTCAGAAGAGTTCTGTTCTAGTAACGAATGCTAGAGAAAGCCTCATATGCATATCACTTTCCTGGGGAATGAAGACTTTTTAAAAAAATAAATAGTCCAAATAAATGCTTCCTCTCCCTTCATCTTTCACATACATCATGAAGGAATTGTTCCATCTGCAGACTGACACAGCAATCTATTGTGCTTATTTTAAACTGAGCAAAACCTTTCCTTAATCTTCATTATATTGAATAGGCTATCTCCATGCAAGTATATTCATACTTAGGAATATACATCATTCACTTCAGTATTTTTAGTAAAAAGTAATAAAAATAGATCAATTTATTTCATCAATTTTCTTTCTGTAATCTTTACTACCATTTTATTGACATAATTTTTTCCCAAATTAAAAATCAAGTATGTATGTACGTTTGAAGTTCCAGTTTTAGTTTCGTATTGCTTAGTTAGAGAATTGATTTCCAGGGAAAGGATCTGGAAAGCAAAGCTGCATATATAAGGGCTTGAAAGACAGGGTTCTGGATTGCCAGTCAAGCCTGAAAGCAAAACATTTCAAAATGGCAAAAATAATTTTCACTTTTTAGCTAGTTCAAGGGAGGAAGCGTGCAACCACAAAGTACAGCGATTAGAAACCACTGAAATCTCAAACGGCAAGAACCTTCTCATCTTTTAAAACAGCTACTGTTGCCACTAGCAAGAGATGATGTAACCAGTCCCCTTTACATCCAAGAAAGAAAAGGATTTCCCTTTCCAAGGCCATCAAACTGGCATCTTTTAGAAGCACTTACAGATGACTAACATGAAATTTTTTGGTGTAGAAGAATTACACTCACAAAGTTACATAAATGTTATAAAATCATTACTGGCAAGAAAAATATATATGATTTTTTCATGGACTTCTTCAATTTCTAATATATTTAAGTTCCTATTAAATTGCTTCTCCGTTTGGGAACAAATTTGCAGTGCTCCAGAATTTATCCCAAAGAGTTTATAGCGTCTATAAAAGCTAGTTGTCTTACCATTCACATACAAAATGGAGCATTAACTGTGAACTCTCCAAACAGGAATACTTGTACAAGAAATAAGATTTTTCTTAAAGTTAGTATCAGAAGTAGTAACATGTAGTTTAAATAGGTACTGATTTCAGTCTAACTTTCATTATATTGTTTTACAATAGCTTAGCTCCACTGACTTCACACATCTACTTTTAAGTTCTACTGGTTTCAAAAAAGCAGAATTAGATGGAATATTTTAAAATCCTTTCTCAAGAAAAATGGACCAAAATGTTCCCATATTCACAAGATTTTCATATCACTTCAAAATACCCTCTTAAGTTTTCAAAATATTTTTTTCCATCAGCGTGTCCCCGGTATATTGGCACCTTCAACAATACCTTTTATCTCTGACACTGTAGTAAACATACACCAATATTCTATTTAACTCGGCCACTTCCTATTTTAATCTAGGAGACTGACTGAAGAAGTCACCTATAAACTTGAATTTTACTGCCCCAGGGATGCATTCATGAGGTGTTCAGTGAATTGCCTATTACATTTCAATCCTTTCAAATGTTTAGCAAAAACTTGGTGAAATCAAAGATGATTTATGGGTGTTTGGAAGCATCTTATAGTTGTTTATTTGTTCTAGAATATAAAATACACATTGCAATCTTTGTAATAACGTGGCTTCAAGATTAAACTTTCAGGTAATCTTGTTCTACACTTGGACGTAACTTTGGGGTCAGTCCATCTGCAAAGGCATTGAACAATGAGAGTGGAAGTAGAAACGTATTTCAGTTAGCTCACTGCATGTATTTAACAGTATGCATACTCTGACAAGCCATGAGAAATTTGAACAGATCTCACACACAAAAAAGATGATGTGAAAACCTCTTTTTGGAGAAATATTAATCGGGAAACTCATAAAAGTTTCAGTGCAAGAGGGTACATTCAATTTTTTGAATTCAATACATACAGAATCAGAGGCTACATTCAATTTTTTCTTCCTTTAACATTAGCTATTAGCTGCTTTTAAGGTGTCATTTGTATTTTGTTAAGTGTGATATATATACTGAGGAATCACATTTATTTGTGGACAACCACAACAGAGTTGTACCAAAGCTATGAAAAACACATTTTGCATCTGTACATGTTAAAGGTGGCCACTGCATGGAGCTATGCAAAGTACATGCTTTGTATTTCTGTTTTCTCATGATTGCATGTGCCCTTACGGTGTTGCACACTTGCTCTGGCAGGCCTACTGTGACATGGAAACTGGTGGAGGAGGCTGGACAGTGATTCAGAGACGTGAAGATGGCAGCGTGGACTTCCATCGGACATGGAAAGAATACAAGATGGTAAACAATGTTTTCTGAAGCCTTAATATTAATTACCATTATCTCAATCTAATATAATGAAGTTACATTAATAGCATCCTTCAAATGTAAGCAGGTTTTAAAAGTTGTCTTTGTCCTTAGACGTTCATTTAGAAAATGTCAGAGTAGTGTTGGTTGTTTGCCTAAGGAGACTTGCAAGTATGTTTGTTTTTAAAGAGAAAACTCACTTTTCTTTAATCAACTGTTCCATGATATGTCCACATTTTTTGAGTTATTTATATTTGTGTTTCTCATGGCAACAGTAGAAACTGCTCTAAATCTACAAAGTCACTATTCACTATTTCAGATTCCTGAGTTTGTCTTTGCTGAAATTAATTTTTTGAAATATTACAGATTATAACCCCTACAGACACAGTAAAATTCTTACTTGACAGACTGAAAACTATTAAACTTAAAACTGATAAAGTGATCATTTCAAACTCAAATAAAAAACAAAACAAGGCTATTTAAATATACAATTTGAATTACAGGGATTTGGTGATCCTGCTGGGGAGTACTGGCTGGGAAATGAGTTTGTTTCTCAACTGACTAATCAGAAGCGTTATGTTCTTAAAATACACCTGAAAGACTGGGAAGGAAATGAGGCATATTCATTGTATGACCACTTCTCTCTAGCAAATGAAGAGCTAAAATACAGGTAAGCAGAAAACTCAGATCTGAATAAAAAAAAGATTGTAGACTGTGTAGATGCATGACCTTATTTCATACAAATTATGACCATTTTTCAGTTCACTCAGAGAATAACGTTTGCTCCGTTTTTCATCTATTGCCTAAAGCAATGATTTTTTCTTCCAGTGGAGAGAATGTGTATTTTACTAGTGCACTTTGGGTGATTGTAACACAAAAGATGCACAAAGATGAAGGCATCGTGTGGTAGAAGATGGAACCCATGTGCCAGTATAGCAGGCGGTAGTGCACAGTTTTCAGGGCAATAGGAACCTGGCTGCAGCTGCTGTCAAGCCCTGATTCCCTACAGTAAATAAAATATTGGAAGTTGGATGACTAAGATGAATAGTACTTGCAGGGTTCTTCTTAAGAATTTAAGAATTCTACTTAAGCTCACAGGAGCTGTTCTGTTGTCATGAAGAGCACACTAAGGTAGTGCTACCTTCTCCTTTTGTGACTCATTGGCTTGGACTCTCAAAGTATAACTCGCTTAGCTGTAAAAATGAAGCTAATAGCTAATGTCCAGTCACATCCCGTAACAAATTTGTCAGTTTAAACACCAGATTTTAATAGACATATTACTTATGCCCTTATCATTCTGTAAAATGCAAAGCTTCACAGTTTCGTCTTACATATTTGGTTAAAAAAGAAAATAATAGACATGTAATAGAAATATTTTATATAAAGAAATATTATTATATTGTTTGATTGGTTATAGAAGAAACTGGAGCCTTTACAGATGCATTTCTACTAGAGGGTCCATTAAATGTTTCTTAACAAGAGTTAGAGATTCATGGAGTTTTAGGAGTCTGGACAGAAAAACTGTCATATTTAGATTAATTTCTCCAAGATTTCTAGCAACTATTTTTTGTAAAAGTCAATCTGACACCTGAGGGAGATAATGCTGCTACTTCAACTCAAGTCTTACATGCAAAGCAATCCAAAACTATCAGCATCTCCTGCCCTCAAAACATTAGATCTTAATGCCTTAGTAGTATACAGTTGTCTCAACTCCAAAGCAAATATTTTTTCATCTGGAAACAGTCAGAACCTACAGCAGAGATTTTTTTTCAAGTAATGCTTTAAAATACTTATAAAGGCAACATTTGCAATATGGGTCATAACCCTTGACCATTTACAATATTAAAAAATAATTACTGAAAACAAAGATGGTTGTCTGTAAATAGATAGATTATTTTAATATGCAACCAAACATGGAATGCATCTCAAAGTGCAGTGGTTTATTTAAAAAGTGTATTTAACATCAAGAAAAAACAAAATCTAAGAAAGTTTCCAGTGAAGAGCATCTTCCATTACATTAAAAACATTAATTCTGAATTATAAGTTGGCCATACAACTGAAATTTCATATTCATAGAAAATTGAGATCAGAATGGACTTTGTGTCAGATGTTCTGATCTCAAAAGCTATAAGGTCAGACCAGGTTGCTCAGGGCTTTATCCTGTTGGGTCCTGATAATCTCCAAAAGTGGAGACTGCACAACCTGTTCCACTCCTTGTCTGTCCTTGTGGTGAAAAACATTTTCCTGATATCCAGTACTCTCATTTCAATTTACATCCACTGCCTCTCATCTTACAGTAAGCCATATTTTTAAAAATTGAAAAACAATGATAATAAATTAATAAAACTCTACTTACATTAGACTGTAAGTGATACTTGAAGACCAAGCCTAGACTCACACATTATACTTGGAACCTTTAATACCACCTATGGTATATTAAGGGAATATAAAATGGGTTAAAATAACCTGCTAAAACAACCAAAGATAAATTCTGTCATAAGCAGGGAATTACATACAAGATGAAGTGCGATCCAAGGTTAAGTTAATTCTTCTCACAGAATGAAGTCTCCTCAGACAGACTACCTCTGAGAAGGATGAGCTATCTCATACAGATATGCAATCCCCAAAGAGATACTGTGGGAGCAGAGGGTTCAAGTCCTTCCAACTCAAGGCAACACAGTAACAGCTGCGCAATTGCCTCCCCAGTTTGATGTCCTGTCTCCCCACCGAGACTGCATCTGCACCTGTGTAAGCACATCCAGGCAGTAGCAACCTCACTGAAAGCTTACCTGGGCAGGGAACTGAAGCAAACTTAAATACCTCTGATGATTTAACACTAAGAAATATATGAAGGATGTGAAGAGGAAGAGTAATTAGCAAATGTGGAAAGAAGAGAATTAGAAACTGCTAAAGTAACAGTTACTAGTTGGTAATTAGTAGTCCAAGTAATATTATTATCCAGACACAAAGTTGTAATGCTACATTCCCATGTTGTGCAAACATCAAAATAGGAATCAAAAAACTTCAAGTTAAGACTTTTGAACATGATTTAAAAAATAATTGCACATAATGTACTTAGAGTACTAAGAAATGTATGATCTGTATGACAAATTCCAGCAATTATTACTACCTGCTCTCATTTTCTTCTAATACAACATGAACAAAACAATCATCTCTACAAATGCAGAGGCTGTTCATTAGAATATTGTGCTGACTATTTATGCTTATATGAAAACATTAGGCTGCAAAACAGCTTACAACACTACATTGGCCAGAAGAGAACTCAACTACTTGGACAGGATATTTATTGCAAACTATTCCATCATTATTTTGCAGATCAACTACCATTAATTTCCATGTAATAATTGTTTTTCCATTCCTCACTTCTGCAGGATCTACCTTAAAGGACTTACTGGGACAGCGGGCAAAATAAGTAGTATAAGCCAACCAGGAAATGATTTTAGCACAAAGGATGCAGACAATGACAAATGTATTTGCAAATGTTCACAAATGCTAACAGGAGGTAGGAATGTTGTTTTTTTTTTTTTTTTCCTTTTCTCAGTCTTCCTATTTTTATTGGCACTGAAACTGTCTACGAGATAAAGAGTGATAATTTTGACTTAGTAAATTTTGGCTATTGAAGAAGTCCAAAACTGACAGATAGAAACACTATTATGGTTACTCCAAATGAAATACTTTATCATATGACAAAGGTTAAAGTAAAACAAGGGGTAAAACTGGAGGGGAAAAAAGTTTGTAAAGCTAGGGTACAAGGCAGTCTTCAATTGTGGAACTTAGCACAGAGCAGATTCTTTTTCCAAGGAATGAGATAACATTCAGAGATAAAACACTTAACTTCCTCCAAAACCCCTGTTCTAGAGATTCAGTTTGTCAGTGAAATGGCTCCTGAATCTTGGGGCACAAACACTTTCCCTAACTATCCAGAGGAGAAGAAAACCCCTAAATGCTGCTGTGCACTGTAGATGCTACAGAAGGCTACAAGTATTTAATTCCATATTTAAATATAATTATGAAGTGGCAAAGATATACATATATTAGATGTCAACGTTTTTCTAATGATTGTTTACCACTTATTGGAGTTCTAGGTGGTATTTTTATTCTGAACCACGAAAGCCATTCTATAATTTGTCAATCTAGAATTCCACATTCAGAAACGTAAACAACTGCTTTATAAATTTGACTTTTCTTCCTGTTATCTCTTAGGCAGTGGCTCGTTTCCCTGTAGCACAAGTTGCAAGACAAAAGACAGCTTCTGTTTATCCAAAACGATAATTGGATTACTGCCCTCCAAAACAGAACACACACATTATCGCCATCATAACAGAAGTATAAAAATATTATCTTATTAATAAAAATAAATTTTACTTGTGACCCACTAACAGGTCAGGACCATAAGGGTACAAAGTTTGGGTTGCTTTTTTCTCCTTTTCCTTCTTACCAAGTTTCAGCACAAAGGTTTTAAACTGATCTGCACTGAGGATTGAAGCAGATGACTTAATTAATTGTCTAAAACAAATTAAGAGTTCAAATCTGTGAAGAACAGGAATTCAAAGAGCAGATAAGAACCAAAGATGACTCACTGTCATTATAGTACAAGTCAAGTTCTGCTCCCAGCCAACAATAATATTGGATATCAATAATAAATTAAGTTTGATTGAACACCTTCCCTTCTCAGTTTTAAACTATAATGCATTACATAAGCTTCAAGAATACATAGTTAATACATAAACATTTCTTTCCTGAGTTTGAGGCCAGGATTTTCTACTGACAGTTCCAAATCGTAAGGATGCAAAACTGGGTTTAGATTCCTTTCTTATTTCAGGACACTAAGCGTCCATATTTTGAAAACTACCTCTGCTGATGTTTTTCTTTGTTTTCTATCTTGCAGGGTGGTGGTTTGATGCATGTGGTCCTTCCAACCTCAACGGAATGTATTATCCATTACGACAGAACAACAACAAGTTCAATGGTATCAAGTGGTACTACTGGAAAGGATCAGGATACTCCCTCAAAGCCACGACTATGATGATTCGACCAGCAGATTTCTAAATGCTTTTGCATTATGTGAATTATGTATTGTGTAGTCTTCAGAGACTTCATTTGCCGAGCACATAAAAACACATCTGCAGCTCCTCTCATTTTACAGCCCAGAAAACAAGCGCTCGTACTCTGAAGGGATGGGTTCAGTACAATTCCTGAATTGCAATAGCCTTGGATCAGCTAAGTCTCGTATTATTCAACCGGACAGAAAGTCTGAAGCATCAACCTGATACAACAGTGATTTGGCCAAAAAAACTGAATAAAAAGAACATCAAAGAAACTGTCAGACAACTGAAGGACTGTGTTTTACTGATCATTTATGTTATATATTTGTTAGTAAATAACTGGAACTGTGAAAAATAGTTTTAGAAATATGCATTTTGCCTCATCACTGAACTTTAAACATTACTCTAATATAAAACACTTAACTAGATCTAGATCTATTTATCTCTGTGTCATGTTTGCCTTTTATGTACATAAAAAAATACTGCCCTGTAATTAGCTCCGTACTGTAGTTAAAGAATACAGTCTTTCCCCTCATAGTCTCCTAAACAACTTCTTACACTTACCAGGAATGTTTTTCAGTAGCCTCTCTTACTTTATTTAACAGAGTACAAATAGCATTTAAGGACTTTGCATTTATACTCGGGAAATACTTTGTACAAAAAAAAAAAAAATCACCATTTCTTTCTGTTTGTACTTACTACTGTCACTATCTTTAAGTTACAAAAATCCCTGCAACTTACAATATAGTATGTATTTCTTTATATTTTTATGAAGATTGCACTTTTTCTCCGTTTCTTGTCATTTACATGTAAAATGTAAATTGATCAGTATTTTATAAACTGAGACAATGGCATTAACACCAGATGTCCAGTTGTCCATGACAGTCACTTATCACCTGGTGCTGTAGTACATCTATACATTTTATAGAAGAAACCTAACTGAAAAACATATGCATGTTTTATTTGATACAATTAAATTTATGCTCATGACTTAAGATACAAATTGCTACATTTTAAGAACAGGAAAAAAAGTTCTGAAAGTTATCCAAGTTCATACTATTGTGGTTTTATTTTTTTTTTTTTTTTTTTTCTTCAGTGAAGTCAGGACTTCTCCTTAGGAATTCTCCATAGGTAGGCCCTCAGTGTATGCCACAATGTGAATAAATTACTCTACTGGGTGATATTTGCCTTTTAAAAAATTTATTACTCTATGCTTTAAAGTTGTGTACAATGTAGTTCAGATTGAAAAGATATTTCTTCATAAATCACACAAAATAATTTAATGGAGATTTCTCCCCAAATTAACTTCAGGCTTTAATTCTCATGCTTCATCTTTGCCTTAAAGTAGTATTCTTGTAAAATTTTATTTCAGTAGATGACCGAATTAGTTACAAGGCAAGAACGTATCTCACAACAGAACAGAACAAAATCCCAGACACAAGATTTCTGGAGGTTTACTTTACAAAAGGTATCTTAAAAACATCTTAATTTTATACTGGTGGTCACTCAAAGTGCTTTCAGAGTACCCCACTGCTCACAACACCACCTTTGAAAATGGTCAGCATTACTAGAAGATAGCAGGGACAAAAATACTTCAAATATGACTTCATTATCTTATTTTAAAGAAACCTAACAAATGTAAATTAACAGCCCTTATCTGAAGAGTTGCATAAAATAATATCACAGTATTTAAGATTACTCTTTAGTATTTTATTGTGTCTCCTAGCAAACTTATAAGGATATACATTTACCAAATTTTTTTAAAAGAAACTTCATAAAACTGCTTCCTAATTTCTTACTTTCTTAAGGATGTCTTAAGAAGCAAGTCTAGCAGACAGCCACCAAGCTAATAAAGGAGGTGGACACAAAAAGAAAAATATGACATACCAAGAGAGGCCAAAAGAGTGGGCCTTTTTCAGCCTGGAGAAGAGCAGAGGAAGTGAGGCCTTACTGTGGTCTACAACGGCCTGACTGAGGATGCAGAGAAGACAGAACCCCTCTTGGAGGTGTACTGCAATGAGACAAGGGACAGGGACAAGAGGCAGCAAACACGAGTTGGAATTGTGAAAATCGGGTTATCTTTTCAATTTGTTAGTTTATTACCATGAGAGTGGACTAGAAAAGACCCTTGGAGCACAGCACTGAACTAGACAACCTTCAGAGGTCCCTTCTAGTCTAAACTGTTCTATGATTCTATGAAATTTAATAGAAATGCTGGGTATAGATTACTGCATTCCCTGCTTCACTGCATTCATTTGAGCAACCTGGTCTCGTGGAAGGTGTCTCTGCCTATGGTAAAAGGTTGGAACTAGATGATCTTTAAGGTCCCTTCAACCCAAACCATTCTACAATTTAATCAGATAGCTAAAGAAAATATTCCTAATATTTGACATAGTAAGTATATCCAGCCAAATAATCTTAAGAAAAAAAAAAAGAAAAGAAAAGCTTCTTAAAAACTATGATGGAATCTGGCACAGTATGAATGCTCAACCTGGCAAAGGAAAATAGTACTAACCTCTGGTTGACATTGACCTTCATGATTTTAGTAATCAAACACTATATGACAAGAATAATTAAATATTACATGGCTAGTTTAGATTTGTTGCAAAAAAGACTTTCTAAAGGTTAAGGCTTTTTGATGACTGTTCCAGGAAAGTAATTGAAGATACAGATGGAGACATTGAATGGATCAATTGTTTAATGAGACTTTTTTTATTTTTTGGTAAAATGGAGTAATTTATCAACACAAATGTAAAGTTTTAAAGTGAATTTGTTTTTAAGTGACATTTATCTAAAGGAGATCGTATGGCTTAAACTGCAAACACCAAAGTGAGAGGAGGACATTTTGGAAGGAATGCAATAATAGGAAAAGAAAAGGCTGCAACAACTGCTTTGGACTTTAAACAGCTGAAACATAACAGCAAGATAACACCTTATTTTAATTCATTCCTGTAATGAAATAAACAGTATATAAAACTTGAATGCAATTCCATTTTCTCTAAATACATGTCAGGAAGCAGAAAGAATTAAGAAAAGAAAGTGAATATAAACACCATTCATGCCCAAATAATAATTGTATCTTTAAAAATAAGGTATCTGTTACAGTAAGAAACCAGAATGACTCAAGAAGGGAAGGACTCGAAAGGTCACACAAACACCACCTTGGACACTGACTTCATTCCTCTGCAAGAGTAGCACACTGCTAACAAGCAATTCATGATCTTGGCACAACCATAAACTTTGAGAAACAAGTAGCAGATGATAATATATTTAACAAACTGCCGCAATATAAGAGAAATTGTGAAAGTTTTTTTTGGCAAAAAATTTTAGAGTGACGGACTAGTAACCTGCTAGTATTCTACTTGTTTTAAAACCAAAACTGCTTAATCAATCACAACATACAGAATGCAGATACCCTCGGGTCTGAACAGACACACCATGCCCCCACATACAAACTTTTGTGCTGCTTCATAATTCAATACTTGAGAATCACCACTGAAGGCAGAAAAAGGTTTCATTTTGCCTGCTTAGTAGTTTTAGAAGCCCACAGTAATTTTCCATTGCCAAAAAATTTTCTAGACTGAAAATAGCAAGTCCATGACATGAATTCTCTTTCCATTAGGCAGTAACACGCCTCTCCAGTTTCAGTATAAGCACAGGCAGAAATCAAATAGGCCGCAAATAAACTGAAATATATTTATATTTATGTAGGAAGCTAGTTCATTCAAATATTAATGGGTGAATCATTTTTTTGCATTTTCCATGCATACCAGAGTTTTTGCACACACTTCAAGAAGTAGTGGATGAAGGAGAGATGGAATCCTTACAGTATTTGCACTAAAGTATTTTTTCTAGTAGGCCTTCTTGCTCACAAAACCTATTCAGAGGACCAATAATTTTCCAGATAAAAGAAAGTTCACAAACTTAAAAGGCCATTAAACTTACAGGAGCTGCAGGGAAGATGGATGAAAGCTCATATGGTTCCTCTGAGATCCAATGGCCCACTTCCAAAGACCACAGAACCTAAAGTAAATTAAGTGGTAAGTAGAACTCTCATAATTTCTAAAGCAGCAAACTCTTTCAATGTCTAATTAGAAGTAACTGCAGCTGCAATAGTTGGTTTCATATTTCATTTACCTAAACCAATTGATCCACTGAAAAAGCAATCAGAAAGATACAAATTTTACAACTGAAACAAACCATTAAAATACCCAAGTCATGTTCCTATACATAGCTACGTTAAATTTTAAAACCTTGTGAGCATACTAGAAAAGTCAACAATACACAAAATTAAAGATGTGGCAAATGAAGTCGTACTGGATCGGTTCTCTTAGTTCAGTTAAGCACTGGCCTGTTTCTCCAGCCTGTCAAGGTCCCTCTGAATAGGAACACCCATCTGGCACATCAAACACTGTCCAGTTTTGTGGCACCTGCAAACTTGATGAGAGTGCACCCTTCCCAGCATCCAGATCATGAATGAAGATGTTAAACAATACTGGACCAGTATCAGCCCCTACTACTGGCTAAGATTATTCAACTGTTGTGTATAATCCATGTTACATACATAAATCAGCCTGAAAAGAAGAAAAGCTCAATTTCATTCTCTTCAGTATCCTCCTGTCAATGTCACATTCTAGGGCACAAAAAAAGGTTGTTGCCAGTGCAGAGTACTGTCTGGAAAATAGGTGGTCATTTATGTTCAATTGAGCTTTGAAATATGGATCAATATGATACTTGTAGACTTGCATGCCTAAGAGTTTGGACTACTTAAAGACTTCTGTTCCCATCAGGGCCTTCACAAAATGTTTAAAACGTACTTGAAATGGTTAAATTTTCAATTGCTGAAATACATTATTTTGGACTTTTTTTTTTTTGTTAAAACTTTCCCAAAACTACTCCGTCCAGCAGAACCAAATACTTGAAAATGCAACAGCTGTACAAAGAAAGAAAACAATTTCTGTAGTCATTATATCATACTAAACCTAAAAATAAGAGTTAAATTAATAAATCAATTACCTTTAAAAAAATATTCAAAAGCTAATAACACATTGCTGTGTTTACCTAAGAAAAGTAAAATAACTTCTTTAAAAGATAGAGTTAATACTGCAACTTTGGATTTTAAGTTATACATTTTAAGGTGATAATTGTGCACATTTTTTACAATTACTTTTTACAATTTACAATAAGAATATAGAAATCTATTTGCTTTATACTTATAGCTGTATATATTTATTGCAAAGAAATTTCTCAATCCGAGCCATTTATCTTTTAATCACAGTATAAATCAACTTCAACTGAATCAAGAAAATTGTAACTTCTAATACAATTCTTAAGACACATGTTGCATGAAAATAATTTCTTTGTAAATAATCTTGAGCAGTAACAGATGTACCATGCTGTATAATGTGTACATCAAGTCCTTATAGTACCAAAATGATGTTTGTACCAAGACTAACTGCCAAACAACCCAAACAGATTGAAACAAAGCCAAAAGATTAGTTATGATTAAGTAATCCCATTTCATTTTCCAGGCCAATTTTACAGCAACAACCTCTATCAATCCTTGTAGTATTTACAGAATTTTGTTTAGAAATTAATTTTGTTTATCTTAACAAAAGATGGATTAATGGTTGTCTATCATGGTTCTGGAATTGAGTACAAAGGCATCATATCTGCTTTCCAAGATAAAAACTCGATACAGAGTTCATGAACAGGTCCTGCAGTAAATAATTAGGTCACCACTCACTAAAACATTCAGTTTTCGTGAACGCAAAGGCAAGACCTCCATTTTAAGTCACTGAAAGTTTGCTTCCGACTCCATCAGACAAAAATTTTCAACCAGTGTATTTTCAGAGCAACACTAAAAAAATGCTTCAAATTCATGTAGGACAAAAAGAAAAGTCATGATTTGCAATATTATTCTTGAGTAAACTACTTCTTCTTGTAAAGTCTTATCTTCATATTCAACAGCTCCTCAGAAAGTGGAAAAGGACTAAGAAAATCTGAAATACCTTAGAATATAAAAGTGTTCATATTGAGAAAAGCTGTCTAGAAGTTTTCAAATGTGTAGTTACAAAAGATTTAGACTAAAATGTAATCATAAAGCAATACAGTAAGAAACAAGCATGAATGCTGGATATAGGAGTATGAGAAGTTAGGAAAATACAGTTGATAACATTGAGATATTAAGAATGTATCAGATTTTAGTAGAATGCAGTCTTGCTGGTCATGGATGACCCAAGAAAGGAGGAAGTAGGGAGAGAAGAGTAAAACATTGTTTTTCTGTGGACTTCTTATAAACTTACAGAATGTTTTTCTTTGGATTCTAGAATCAAGTTGATCAATCTTCTGTTATTTCCTCCTCAAGTACAGGCTTTTTTATTGAATTCGGTAGTAGGCAACCTGTATGGTATGGAGATCCAACAAGTGTTGGATCAGGTTACACAGCTCCAGCAAATGATGGGGGTTATGCAGCTCTAAGCAAGCATCTGCAGCTCATACAGCTATAAGGTTAGCCTTGGTGCAAAGTTTTCCTTTGCACAGGCATATCAGCTGTGTTCTTTTTTCCACAGTATATAGAAAAAAATTATATCAAACTTCAGGTTCTCAAAGATGTAAAACCAGTTTGACTAATCATTATTTAAGGTCTCTTACCATCCAGCTAACACACTGCATCATCATATGGCACTTGTACTTGAAAACTCCTCTTGAAATATGTAAATGAAGTGCTATGGAGATTAAATGTCTAATGGTAAAACTGATATTTCTCTAACATCCATCTTGAACAAAAAAAATATTTCAGCCTAATTATCTATATTACCAGTCAAAAGACAGTGGTAAGTAATATTTCAGCTTGTTAAAACATTGAGAAATGTCTTCCAAAAGACATTCATCATTTCTCAAAATTACTACCTTGTTTAAAAGGTAACACTGATTTCTACAGATTGATGGATTATTTTAATTATCCAATTTGAAATACTTTACCGATGAAACTACTTATGGTAGGATTGACTGAAGTATGAAGAGTCCAGTATTGTAACATTATTAAAAGGAAAAAATAATTGTGCTTAAATGAAATTCTCCTGACTACTTTTCTGAAGAATTCCTCATGATGGTGAAGTATGTCTTCAGCTTTCTGTTCTCTAGTTAAAGTATTCAGTTAATGAATTTGGGTAAAAAGATGGCAAAATTATGCCAGTGACACAATTACAAATAAGACAATAATGCTCTTTTGTGGTAAATTGCATAGATTTAATTAAGTTAAGAAATATTGGTTTTAAAAATTCAAAGCAGTATTTTCTTTCAGTGAAGTAAATTACTTAATTACTTGAGTAATTAGATATTTATGGACAGAGTTTTACCCAGCCTCAGTGAAAGATTGAAGCACAGTTCTAGAAAAAAAAAAAAAAAAAAAATCATTATTCACAGATAAGCAGATCCTATAAGACTGAACAAACTTGTGATTTGGAGAACTGAATTCTGAAGTTTTTTCTTTAGTCCCTTCTCATGTGGCTCTCCTAAGAACTTTAGAACTTTGTCTAAATAGCAGCTCAATAAAATGAGAGAAGACAGCTTAATCATTTGATCCAATAATATTTACCTGAACAAACTAAGTCTTGGAGCAATTGCATTTAACTTATTGGTATTACATGAGCGATATAGATGATCCTGTGATGAGTCTAAAAGGTAGACTGTAAGAGAGCAGGAGAAAATTTGGCATTGCTATCAGTCAGTGCTACTCAGTGAAGAGCATGTGTTGATGTTTTCACCAGGCATTGTTTCACAGAAGCATGGTGCATAACATTGGCAATGAAAATCCAGGACAACAATTGCCAGAATACTGATTATCCAAATATTGCTTTATATACAAAGGTAGGAAATTATTTATTGGATTTTTGTAGTAGTTATCTACATCTTCAGCTACCTTATGGTTATTTGAAGCTTTTTCTCAAGGAAATACTCAGCTTTCATATTTGACTACCCTGTTATGAGAAAGTAACTTACAGCAAATATGTTCTCTTAATGCAGTCAAGGATGCTATTGGTATTTTCTGTCACAAAGGTACATTACTGGCTTGTTAAGGCTATCAAAGATGCAAATCCCTTTATCCCAAGGGAAATTATTCACCAAGAACAACTGAAAACCCCAGGGTATACAATAATATCTTCTTCAGATAACTGCTGTGTATCATGCAGGACAAGCTTCACACTGGTAAGTGTGAAACATCTTGAAAACAAAAAGGCAACAGAAGTTCATTTTGTTCAGTCCATCAGCTAAATTTTAAATCTTTCTTAAATTTAGAAGAAAAAGGAAACAAAGGAATATAAAGTTATGCTACAACCCTTTTCTGTGTAAGGTGAAGAGCTATTTCCATATAAATTCCAATACCTATGTTTTATAGCTCTGAAAACATAAGGGAAGTTGAAAAACTGTCATCTGCAATGTCAGACTGAGTGGTTACTCTCTGTTATAGCAGTGAGAAATTGAGGTGGTTCAACCCTGCGCTGACAGGTAAGCTGTCCACCCACCTACTGCTTACTCCATGCCCCAGCAGGATGGGGAGGAGAACTGGGTAGGCAGAAGCAAGAAAAAAGAACCGCCTTGTGGGTGAAGATGAAAGCAGTTAGTAAGTGAAGGGGGGGAAAAAAAAAAAACAAACAAAACCAACATTAAAAAAACACCAAGTGATGAAGTAATCACTCTCAGCAGCAGATAAATGTCCATCTAGTCTACAAGCACTCTCTGCTTTGGAAAAACTCCTACCCAGTTTTCTATCTGAGCACGACATCATATGGTATGGAAAAATCTCTTTGATCAGCTGGGGTCAGCTGTCCCAGCTGCAGTCCCCTCCCAGCTCCTTGTGCACCCCCAGGCCACTTGCTGGGGGGCAGAGGGGTCAGTGTGAGAATCAGAGAACACATCTTCATGCTGTGTAAGCACTGCTCAGCAATGGCTAAAACACTGCTGTGCTATCAACACTGTTTTGGTCACCAGTCCAAAACACAGCACCACACAGGCTCCGTATCGGCCAGACCCATGATTATCTTGTCTTTACAGTAACAGTCTGGTAAGTGTACATGGTAGCCTACAAAACATTTTTAGGATATACAGTGATTATTTGATCTGGACACCTGGGAAACATTTCTATAAATTATAAAGTTTCCAAATTACTCATCTACAAATAGTTTTCCTTATTTTTTTTGCTATTTTACCATTTTTCCACTATGCATCAAAATATCTAAGAATTCCCCTTCATGCTGAGCTCAATATATGTTTCAGAACAGAGAAGAAATATATTAAAACAGTATATAAAACATTCAAAACTGAATAATGTGACTTAGCTAACATTGAGCAGAAATAGTTTGTTTAGCCTTTAATCTGTCTTTAATAATGCATGTGACATGAGTTTCTCATTCATGACATGAGACTTCAGGCATTTTTAAAATACAAAATGAGGTACAATACAGGAATCTGGTTAGATGAATTACTGAGGGACAGTAAGTCACAGTAACAGAGCAGCAAAAAGACAAATTTCCTATAATTGAACTAATTCCAGGTAAGCCTGAATATCTGAATATTGCATCATTGTATGTAGGAAGGACACAAACATGGTTATATGATTGATATTTCATATATACAAAATATTTTTAATTTATTCTGTAGTAAAATTAAAAAATAGTTCTTACCCATTCATAAGAAACAATCCAACACCCACGGGCAATTCCCAGCATAACATTCAAGGTACGACGAGGACTCCCTGCAACTACATGACTTGTGGTTTCACATACACCATCTGAGAACAAAAACTCTCCAAGTTTTTTCACCACCTGAATTACTGTATTTTGCTTCCTAAAAAAAAAAGTAAAAAAAAAAAACCACCATACAACATTGAGTGGATATACAGAACTATCAAAACATATGCACACAACACCAATTAACTCAAACTCACCTCCTTTCTTTCCTTACTAATAATTTCTTATCCTTTTCTCATTGAGCCTCTACCTCTTTCCTAGCCCTAAATTCATTAGCCTTCCCACAGAGTCCAAACAGACTCTCTTCTGTCATCACCCAACCATATCTACTTGCACATCAAAGCTCTTTTGTCCTCCACATCTATCTTGTTCGTTTAAACAGAAACTTTTGAGTCAGGAATTATCTAGCATATTGTTTGTGTACAATGCCTCAGCCTTGGTTGCTTTTGTAGTACTATCAAAGAAGTATTACCCAGAACACACAAACATCTAGAGACAGTACTCTTAAGAGGTTTTTGTGAGGAAGCACCAAATCTTCAGCATCTGAATAAAATGCTGTGTCTAAATGTAGAGAGATGTCCTAAAGTTCTGACTACCTACAGATCTGAGCCAACATTTCAGTTACAAATTCACTTATCCTTAAACACAATTACAATTAAAAATATAAAATGAAATATAAAATCCAGAATGGCCACCTGTAACTGTAATTCTAATTTGAGTTCTCTACATTGTTATTCTGGAGCACATAAATATATCATCATAAAAACAGTGAGAGCTTGGTATCACTAGAGCAAAGCTGTTTCATGAGAACAATTTACTATTTTTATTACTGATTATTTTTATAAATCATTATTATAAATGATCATTAAAGAACTGTAAATGTAAGGCCAGTTCCAGTGCCCTCTCTGCTCCCCAGAGTGACTTGGAAATGTCCACAGAATGCTACACAAGAGAAAAAAAATTAAGCACAACCTCGAACACAGTCACATCTATCACAACAGTGAGTCTCTCAGGTAAAATATTTAAGTTAATCACTGAAATAATGTGAGTGCACTCAGGACATCTCCAGAAGCCTCTGGGCTTACTTCATTCTCACATTTCACTCCAAATAAAGTAGCTCAATTAAAACTCCCCAAATGCCTCAGCTAAAACAAACACTACTTAGTGGAACGCTAACAAAAGGCAAAAAATTATTCCTAGAGAATGCAGCAATCTGTTTTTTAAGGAAGTTTCAAATAAAGAAATAAATAGTAAAAACAGTGTAGCAAATTAACATCACACTGAAGTCAAAAGGTTGACTTACAAATATATTGTATGTGGAGACACTTAAAAAAAATAATCAAACCACTGACCCTCACTCCTGTGTGAATTCTGTCTTTGGCTATATGCTTTTGAATGTTACTCGAGTATTTACTATTCCCTTTTGACTTTATGAGTTTTAACTTGACATATACTACAAGTGAATGTTTTTGCAAGACTGCAACCCAGAGGTTTTCATGCTCTGCCTGAACCTTCTCGTTCTTTCTTATGCCTACACAAAATTCTGTACAATTAGAGGAAGAGAGTCCTGTTGTATAAGAATTGAATCTAAGACACCATAGAATTACAGTGAAAGCTCACCAGTTTATACTTCAGTCAGCTGCAAACCTGACAGCTGCAAATTTACAGCAAAATGTCACTGACTGTGTGATTCAGAAAAAGAGGTAGCCCCTGGCTGTGAATCAGTGAGCACCGCTTACTGTAATCTCAAAACCCAATGCCATGAAACCACTGAACTCATCTTTAAATTTAAATTCTAATGAACTACTTTTGAGGCTGCAGCTACTGTAGAATTGGCTTTTGGCCATTGGGTTGTACTTTGGAGGACTATTTTCTGTTCTTTAGTTCCTTCAGAAGCAGTCCTCCCTTCACCCATTCAGAGACTGATGAATGCCTACAACTGTAGACAGCCACAAGTTCTGAAGAAAAGCAATCGTTATCACCAGACCTTTATATTTAATGAAATATTAATTGGCTAGTGCAAAAAAATCAACATATGAGTAACCTAAAAGACATAATATATTAATGACCTCTTTCAACAAAATAACTTTTTTGTCAGCTCTGCCAGGATTTGTTCTCTTCTTTCAGGCAGATCACAACCTCTGCTTTCCACTACTTCTATCTGCACTGTAGCTATTATTTTTACCTCCCCCACAGCAATCCTGCATTGCATGACTTGCAAAGTGCATTTTAGTCTTGGTGTTAATAGTATCTGGTTACACTAAAGACTAGAAAAGTATTAATTCCATTTTATGTGTCTGACAGATTAGTGTAATGGTTAATAGCTATTTACAACTATTTACAAAGAACTTCTAAAAGGATAACCACTAAGTACTGTTTCTGAGTACCTATATCTGTATAACTGTTAAGATTTAATTATTTCAAACCTGAAACAGACTTGTGGGTAGCAGAAATACCTTGAGTTTTGAAAAAGAATTAAAAAAAACCCTGTAAGCAGTGTAAGCATAAAATATGTAAGCAAGTGTAGCATAAAATATGGAATTGTGTTTTTGTTGGATGTTCTTTATGCTGCAAGACTTCTAAGAGAATGATAAGAGCATGCCAGAAAATTAACTCTCCCCCTAAATATGCAGTGGCAGCTGCTTCTAATGTTTTGAAACTAAGTGGCTAAAAAGCCTACAATTGGTATTTCTTCAGCAACTATTTATATGAAAGAAAACACTTTGAACTGATGTTTCAGACTGACTTTTAAAATAGAAATAATTACAATGTATGAGGAAAAAGCTAAGTCTTGGACCTAACGTTTGAACCATTTACTACATAAAATTTCTTTCTATGCTTGCTTCAGGAAAATTCAAAACTTGCTCCAGATTTTCATTTCATTGTTCTGAAGCCCCACTGAGCTCACCTATGGAACAACTACTTCGGCCTGCACCATAGCAATGCAAACATACACACACACACACTATAGACAACAACGGCAGATACATGTCTGTACATGTTTCTAGCTAGAACACAGAATAAAAAGAAGTATTTTAACATATGGCCCAAAGCTAAATTTAGTTTTGCATAGGCATAAAAAGATTATCATCAACGTTCAAGTTTAAATGGTGTGCAGACTAAAGAGTAAAAATGTTTAATACTTACTCAGATGACATACTGGTCATAACTAATGTCCTTGTAGGCTAGAGGTGTGAAGGAGACAAGAAAACATCAAAAATCTGCAAAGTTTTCCCTTTTGAAAAAACCCTTAAATTAGAAACTGTTTCATTATTAACTGTCCATTCAAAGGACTACACCATTTCATAGTGACAGTATCACCAGGAGAAGAGGCTGTACTAATTAACACATATCCTAGAAACATCAAACTTTGAGGAAAAGGAAGGAAGGAACGGATGGTGACAAGCTGGAGCACAGGAAGTTCCACCTCAACATGAGGAAGAGCTTCTTTACTGTAAGGCTTACAGAGCACTGGAACAGGCTCCCCAGGGAGGCTGTGGAGTCTCCTTCCCTGGAGACTTTTAAGACCCATCTGGATGGGTTCCTGTGTGACCTGCCCTAGACTAGATGGTCCTGCTCTGGCAGGGGGGTTGGACTCAATGATCTCTGGAGGTCCCTTCCAACCCCTAACATGCTGTGATTCTGTGGAACCCCTTTGTCATGTCTGGTATCAAAGGCTCCAAAATAGCAGAAGACAGAAATGTAGGTTTTCCTTAATACAAACAAAAACCAAAAGGATTTTCCAGTCTGGGATACCACAGAAAAAAAACGATAGTATTTGTCTTCGGCCTTTTCCTTCTGATGAGGTGGAAAGGAAAAGGCAGCTCTCCATTAACAAAGAAAACCTTTTATTTAAAATTATTCCAGTTTCTTCCGAAAGAAAGGCAGAAACTGGCTGAGGTGCTGCAGAAACAAGAGTATACTTACTGTAAAATAGAATTTTAATAATTTTATTTTTATTTTGATAGTGTAAAGGTCTTTTTTTGGCAGGACTTCAGTATTTTAAATCCAGGTTTGTAAGTAAATATTCTTTCACTCTTAAATCTTGTCTAGCGAATAAAAGTGGTCTGAGTAATATAACACACAAGGTGCAGTCAGAATCCTAAATCTCCTAAAGGAGAGTACGGAATCCTTAAACCAGCAATTCTGACACACCTTATGAAGCAACCCTTTCTTCCCCTGCAATAGTCCCCATAGCCTATGTACAAAGTAGGAGTGTTTGCCCTATACAGAATTTAAATAAGCTTTTTAAGAAGTCAGAAGAGGACGAAGTATCCTTTGTTCATCAGCAATGAGCATGAAAGCCTCCAGCACACAGAGGTAAGACAGAACATGAATTTTAATAGTGTCAGAGAAATACATAACAAACATAACATAACATGGTTATCAAAAAATACATGTAATAAGAGGTTTTGAAAATCTTAGATAAAAATTTCTTGTAGCTACACAAAGATGCACAAGTACTTAAACATTTAATTTTGTAAAAAAGTAGATTGATCAACTTTTGCACAATGATTTCAAACCACTCTTCCTAATTTAATAAATCAATACATGCTTTTCAGATTATTTCTCTACATAAATACTGCTCCATAAGAAATAATCATTCCCATTTCTGCCCTCCTAATATATTACCACAACCACAAGCACTAAGCTCCCACAGTCTCTACTAAAATTTGGTTTCCTTTGAGTAATGTAGTGAGCTAAGACCACAAAAGTGTTCTGAATTGGATTACAGCTGGTAGCACAGGCCAAAAAAAGACTTGAGGGCAGCTCATTTTACCCAGTAATGAATCACAGAACAGAACAGAGAACATACACTGGTTCTACTCCATCTGTCCTCTCTTATCAGTACAGAACTGTTCTCCATTAAGTGTTCAAGCAATTTGTCACATTTAAGAACGGGGTTCCTTGGAATTATTTCCTAATAGACTGTAGACTAACAGCATGCACCATACCTATTCATTATATGAGCAACCTTTGCATAAATAAAATGCAGTATAGACACCATTGACAAGCTAGGTATTAAAGATAACATAAGTAGTTTTTTCAACATATACATGATAATTTCATTCTGTGGTTGGGTAGATTTGAAAAATAAACTCTAGATTCCATTTGAGTCTTCAGAAGTAACAGAAAGTAGTATATTCAATAATTTAAAAAAAGTCACTATAAACATGCATTCAGACATTATGTAACCTATGTAATACTTCAGAACTGAAAATACATACAATGTGAAAATGTAAAAACAATCAATAATAGGATGGAATAGAACTTCAACTGAGAAAAGGATGAAACACTTATTGAAATATTTGAGAGAAATTCTATGCAGTATTTTTGGAAATGTAAGTTTCCAAATTCTAACTTGTTACCAGCAATACTTACTGATGATGCCTTAGCCTACTGCTAGCCTGACAGTTGAAGAGAATACGCACTTACCTGTAATCAAAATGTATTGCATTCTCAGCCAAAAGACTTTCTATTGCATTATTTTCAACTCCAAATAAGCAGTCGCATTTACTGGCTCTGGCAAGTTGCAAGAACTTCACAGCTTCAATTCCACATTTGAGTTTTATACACAAAGAGTTTGTGCAAACATAACAACAGTGCAACAATAAATATTAAATACATCTATAATATTGATATAATTAGTATTAAATACTAAGTATTATAAACTGAAAATTTGAGTCTAGACTCAAAAAGATCTTTAGTAACACACTGAGTGAGGTTTCTCATGGCAGGAGGACTGGAATATTAGGCGCTCTGCTGCACAGGTTAGGTCAGATGATTGAAATCGGACATGGGGCCACATTATACAATAGTATACCTCACACTGTCTTCATGCACATTGTTGAATTTGCATAAACTCCTAAATATTAAACATCCTGGGATGTGACAGCCTGGGAAGGCACAAAACACTGCATAAAAGCAAGGGTTTACTATTCTCTGTCCCGTCTTTCTGGGCTGAGGACCACAGCTATGTCAAATATGTATTGCTTCAGCATGGTCATGACGTTCTTCTTCAGTATTTGAAGCCAAGCCTCACTGCCATCAAAACTTTGGCTAAAAGACAAACTTAAATACACACAAAAGAATTGCACTAGGTTCTTGGGGTGCTTGTATAGTACTAGCTCCAAAGCCAGATCCTGATGTGCCTGTATAGAATGTGCAGAAATCTATCCTTCCTAGCAATTTTTTATAAATGAAATGTCACGGAAGCATTACTAATCAGACCACTACTTTTGCCAAACGTGGGTTAAAAAAAAATGTATTATTACAAACCAAGGCCATAGCAGCTTGAGATCACACAGCTGCTTCCCCAGCTTCAGAGCAGAAATATTCATTAACAGTTCCTTCATACCTTATCTATACAGAAGTGAAAATAGTGGATCCACACAAATGGAGAAACCTGCAGCCTGTCCTGACATTACCCTGCAAAGTCAGCTTTTATGCTGCAACACGTGCCACACAAGATAGTACAGTGAGAATTCTGGGCAAATGTTCTGTCAGTGATCACTTCAACGTGATTCAAAGACTCAAGAATGCAGAAGGATGTATACAAAAAGGTAGAAATTGGGATAAATTTAATTTCTTCCAGACAATTATTTCATTAGCATTTAGAAGTGCATATTTTTGCAAGCTAGAGGTTATTTGCTAAACAGACATTTTATTGCTTAAGTGACAAGCAATCCTCTTTAATTACAGTTACCAAGCAGAAAACTTGGCCAAACTGTGTTTTTATTTTCTGTTGTACATTTTTCAAGTTAATTGCTTCTCTTCCTTGCTATGCAATTTTTCTTCAATGTTCTTTGTATCTGTTTTATTTTACATCTTGTTTTTATTGCAATTTTTTTTCTTTTGAGTTAGCATTTTCTTTTCTGACAAGCAAAAAAACATCTGGTGAGCATCATTATGAATTCTAATGCACATTTGTATCAGGATTATTATTAGTAAAACAATGGAAAAGGTGGTATGAAGTTAACTGGCCCTTTTACTTATCATTAATCTCTGAATCCTGAAGAGTTTCATATCTGTACTATAAATCAGAATGCACTTGTTTCTGAATAATTTTTTAGGTCTGAAATACAGGCTGTGTTATAAACAACACGCTTCTGCTTCTCTTTATATATTTCTTAGGAGCACAGCTGAATTTAGTATTTTTTTAGAATCCGTCAATGACAAGACTTTTCTAAGTCACCTAAAAAATAAAATGTGCATTTCCACTAGCTCAAAGGAAAGAGTATTTGTATATCTTTACAGCACATAAAAGACGTGATACTTCCTCTATGTTAACTGACCTACACCACAAAGAGGCATCCAACCTCAAAATGTGTTCTTTCTTTCTTCTAAGTTTAAGCAGATGTTTCTTGGAGCTGAAAGACAGTAAGAGAAAATCCCTTTTTTGTACAACCTGCTTTTCAATAAACTGAACTCAAATTTTGTTTCCTTAAGAATGTCATGAGCTGTTCTTCATAAGTGGGTTATTAATAAAAATGTAACAGTAAAATAGTTGTGTGTTTTTTTTTGTTTTTTTTTTTTTTTTTTTCAGGCCAGTTCTCAAGAATAGAGTTCATTCATGCTAAGAATTGATTTCATAGCCATAGTTTAACATTTGTAATTGGCTAAATCCAAGCCTAAGTATATTAGATCTCATTTTGTCTTTGGCTCAAGAACCCAGACCTTAGATATTTTTCGTGAAAGGATTTCAACCAATAAATACCACTCTTGAATTGTATATTACTTAGTGCAAGTGCTCCTCTTATGCCTTAAATTTGACTGAAGTGCTGAAAGAAATAAGCTTCAGTGTACTCTCAAATTCAGTCATATGTGCTGATGGAGAAAAAAAAAGGCCTTCACCTTCAGGATTTAACAAGATACTTACACCCTGTGTGGTTTGGCCACAACCAGGAGTAAAGGACTTTTTAGGGAGTAGGTGTGGAGGAAGGGGAAAGTAGTGCTTGCATGTGTAAAGAAAGTGTAAGAGAGACTGCAAGATTATTATGCTGTTTTGTACTCTCCTGATCACTTTTTTCCCTTTGGATATTGTAGGCTCATCAGATGGTTCTGAAATTGGTTCAGAACTCCTGTGCTCACTTTTGGTCTTTACAGCTGTATTTCAGAAGTAACAATCTTCAGTCCTACTAGTTAGTATGAGCCAAAAAATGAGCTATGTGTAGCATGGGAATAT